TTAGGCCTTGTTTGTCATAATCTAAAAGTCACTATCTTATTTAAGTCCCATCATCTTATTTAAGTCACATCACCTCTCTATCACATCACTTCAAACACAACTCATACACAACCCATATTTCATAAAAAGTTAAAAAGTACACTTATTTAGATCATCCCAAACAACCCCTAAGTTTGGTAAACATTCTAAAGTAACAAGTCTACGCAAAGAATTAAAATTAACATATTCTAATCTACTATGCCATAAAAATGAAGACTCAGCAATATAAATAAAAGATGTGTTATTATTATTAATACTCAAATTAGGTACAACAGTTATTACATTGAGCTTAAAGAGCTCATCACTCATATAACCTCGCCCCACATACATTCCACTCTTAGAGAGTACAACTTTGTTAGATTCAAAGACTAATTTAAACCCATTCTTGATCAACAACGACCCAGAAATCAAATTTTTTCGAATCTCTGGCACATGGAGTACATTGTTAAACGTGACTTCTTTCACCGAAGTCATTTTCAGCACAATCTTTCTTTGTCCTTCTATAGTTGATGTGGAGGAGTTTCTCATAAAAAGTTGTTCTCTACTTTCCACTACTTTTTAGGTTGTGTACATCTTATTATCTGCACAGATATAGCGGGTTGCTCCAGTATCCACCCACCACTCCTTAGGATTGCCCACCAAATTTGTTTCAGAGACTACTGTAGCAAGATTGATGTCTGTCACTCTATCGGAAAGATAAAAATCCTCGACTATGCTAGCTTGTACTGGCTTTTTGCTTGAACTCCCTTCGTTCTTGCGAATGTGACAATCCTTAACGCGATGTCCATCTTTGCCGCACACAAAACACTTACCTTTGAACCTCTTGTTGAATGCATTCATTTAACTCAGTTTAAAGTTCGGTCAGTCAGTTCAGTACTTTAATCAGTTCAATTATCAGTCAGTTATCAGTTCCGTTTAACAGTAATCGGTGATTATCGGTAATCAATCAGTCATTAATCAGTAAACAGTACGAGGGTTGTTACAAACGCGATGTCCATCTTTGCCGCACACAAAGCACTTACCTTTGAACCTCTTGTTGAACCCATTGTTGATCCATTTGTTGATCTTACTAGTGGATCCTTATTTGAGACTATTGTCATCATGCTTCCGTTTCTTGTTGTTGAACTTTAACCCTTGCCCATGTTCCACAACATTTGCTTTAGCCTGCATGACATGGTTTCTTGTCTTCTTGTCAGAACCACGGTTGTCCTCCTCAATTCTGAGTCGCACTATCAGTTCCTCTAATTTCATCTCCTCATGCTTATGCTTTAGATAATTCTTGAATTCTTTCCAAGATTGTGGCAATTTTTTAATGATTGCCCGCTACTTAGAAAGATTCACTGAGAACCATCCCTTCCGCATGTATGTCATGGAGAATTAATTGGATATCTTAAACCTAGCTAATAATCGTCTTGGAGTCTATCATTTTAGAATCCAAAAAACAGTCGACAATAAATTTCTTTATACCAGCATCCTGTCTTATATTTATGATCTAGAGATTCCCATAGTTCTTTTGCAGTACTTTTGACACTATACACATTGTAAAGTGTATTATCCAACTCATTAAGGATATAATTCCGACATTTTAAATCACCATGTTTCTGTGCATCAACTGCGGCAACCACTTGCCAGTCAGTTTCTCCTTTGTTTAGTGCCAGTGCTTTTTCATGAGTGAAGCGAGTCAAATTCAATGTCGTAAGATAAACCATCATCTTTTGTTGTCATCTTTTAAAATCATTTCCATTGTATTTTTCTGACTTCTCCTCATGATTTACCGGTACTACCAGAGTTATCACTGGCACAATAGGTGTGAGGGGTCAGAGTAATAACAATCTCAGTACTGTTAGTAGTCATATTTCTGACGAAATAAAAATGTACCAACCACAAATTTATACAGAAAATAATTTACACACAAAATATATAGAATAATATTTTGTAACAAAATTCCAATGATAAATAGTATATTACTACTATGTTATCAAAGAAATCATTAAATAATATATTACTACTATTTAAGAAATTAAACGGTATATGACTATTATTTAATTTCCCGAAACAAAATATTCGTCTGTCTATCACACAAATAAAAAAAAATAAGAAAATCTACTTTAAGATTGTTATACCCACAGTGGTATGTGTGTAAATTAAATGTATAAATAAAATAAAAAACAAAATAAAATAATTCAGAAAATAGTTTAATAAATTAAATTTCGAATTACTTGCTTATAGAAATTATAAGTCGAAGCTTGTGTTGGACACAATCTCCTTAAAGTAGATTTCGCCCTTACTCCGGTACTTCGAGTTTTAATGGCGTCTACTTCCTAGGATGCAACGACTAACACTTGATCTGAAGCACTACAAAATCAAGTCTGGCAAACCGAAACTCTGTTGTGACTCTCTCTTTTTCTTTCTAAAAATTAAATGCAAAATAGATGCAGAAACACAGAGATGAACAGAAGAAGAATGACAAAATTTTGAGGGAAAAATTAGATGCCAAGAATTGTTGGAATGGAAAGCTTTATATAGGAGCAATGGTGGCTTTTCCGAACAGGTAGAAAACCTGTTCGGACAGATTGAACAGGTACAAACCTATTTGAACAGATACATATTTGAACTCAACAGGTATGAACCTGTTTTGAACCTATTCAGGTGGGTAACGGTTTGGGATCTGTTTGAGTGAAGGGAAAAAAAAAATTTAGACCAATTTATTTTGAATTTTGAAACAAAAATTTAGACCAATTCAAATGTTTTTGGCCAAAAAAGATAAGTATTGGGTCAAACAAGCCCAACCCAACCTCACACTACGCATCCGCGTCCAACCCGCTCGGACGGATAGCGCGCACGTGTGGTTTTTTGTTTTGGGTTCAATGGATCTAGCCCACTTTACTCATAACCTCACCCTTCCACAAACTTGGGCACCTCTTGTGGCCCATCCCAAATATCACAAGCTAGTGTATATAAACCCATTCAAAAACTTAAGCCTTTCTAACGTGGGACAAGTATATTTCACAAATGTATAGGAAACCCACCTAAAGCCATTTCCACAAACCTGAAAACGCACATTGAATTTTCATTCATCCGAAAATGATTTTGAGCAGCTAAATACACGATGTTATTCACTACACGGCATTAAACATGAAGCCAATGAAAATCGTTAAAAATAACGCTTGAGTTCTACCATAATTAATGCTCAAAGTTAGCAAAAAAATAAAAAAATTTCAAAGCCATTTTTCAACACCACTTAGATCACATCACCTTAATTAATTAATTATTTTTATTTTTTTAGATCACATCACTTCTTTATATTTCTTCATATATTTTTATAAAAAATCAAATAATACACTTATTTAGATCATCTTAAATAACTCTTAAATTAAAAAATTATACTCAATTTTTAAATACAATGATGAGATGACAGTCTATCAAAATATATTTTTATATATCATTTTTCATGAAAAAAAAAAATTGGTTGTGTTTGGTAAGGTTTTCAAAAATTAATTCCACCTTTACATTTGAATAATATGTTTGGTAAGAGTTTTCAAATCATGATTCCAAATCAATTTCAAAACAGATTTTGAAAACATGTCTGGTAAGAGTTTTAATTTTTGAATTTTGAGTGTACCGGGTCATCAGCCCGAACGTTCGGCTGGTTGACTAGAACAGTGTAATTTTTTTTTTTTTTGCCAATTGTCACCTATTATTTGGAAAAAAAATTATATTTGTTTTTGATTTTTTTAAATATACAAATTATTTTTTTTAGGCCAAAATGACATTATTTTTTAAAATTGAAATTTAAAAAGAGTTTGGTTATGAATTTTGAATAGAATTTTGAACAGAGTTTCGAGTTGTGCGTTTGGTTATAAGTTATAAGTTTTTGAATTAAATTTTGAAAACTCTTTTCAAAACTCTTTTTAAAACTCATAACCAAACATTTTTTTTTTAAAATTATAATTCTATGTTCAAATCATAATTCTAAAATTCTTCCCAATACTATCTTTGATTTTTTATTTTGGGCAAATTACCAACTCTTCCCTCAAGATTTGACTAAAATACGGATTTTTCCATGAGGTTTGACAAATTATAAATTACTTTCTGAGATTTATATTTATATAACAAATGAGAGAATAATTTATTATGTAAATATAAATTTTAAGAGATAATTTATTATACAAATATAAACCTTAAAAAACGGAATGTAATTTTTTAAATTTGAGAAAAAAAAAATCTGCATTTTAATCAGATCTTTGTTTTTGATTTTTTTAAATATACAAATTATTTTTTTTAGGCCAAAATGACATTATTTTTTAAAATTGAAATTTAAAAAGAGTTTGGTTATGAATTTTGAATAGAATTTTGAACAGAGTTTCGAGTTGTGCGTTTGGTTATAAGTTATAAGTTTTTGAATTAAATTTTGAAAACTCTTTTCAAAACTCATAACCAAACAAATTTTCTTATTTCATATGTCACATTAAAAATTTTAAAACTCAATTCAAAACTCTTTTTAAAACTCATAACCAAACATTTTTTTTTTTTAAATTATAATTCCAAAACTCACAAACTCAAAATATAATTCTATGTTCAAATCATAATTTTAAAATTCTTCCCAATACTATCTTTGATTTTTTATTTTGGGCAAATTACCAACTCTTCCCTCAAGGTTTGACTAAAATACGGATTTTTCCATGAGGTTTGAGAAATTATAAATTACTTTCTGAGATTTATATTTACATAACAAATGAGAGAATAATTTATTATGTAAATATAAATTTTAAGAGATAATTTATTATACAAATATAAACATTAAAAAACGGAATGTAATTTTTTAAATTTGAGAAAAAAAAAATCTGCATTTTAATCAGATCTTGAGGGGTGTTGGTAATTTGCCGTTTTATTTTTTTTAAGCTTTGGGAGGAGGCAATTGCTGCTAGAAGACTTGGTCGTTGGTTGTCCACAAAACTGCAAGACACTTGCAACCCGACAAACTCCTACTCTTCTCTCTTTGCTTTCTCCGCACTCGCCCTCCCTCCCTCTCTCTCTCTCTCTCTCTCTCTCTCCTCTCACTCTCACAGAGCTACTCATCTCCCCAACTATTCAACCCTCAATAAACCCTGGAATTTGTTTGTCTCTCAATCTCAGCGATCATTCCAATGCCAATTTCGCTTCAAACCAAATCCCCACTCGTTTTCTCCTTCTCAAAACTATCAATTTTAACGCCTTATCTACCACTACACACCCAAAACGATTAGGTTTTTTTTATTATCATCAGCACGACGATCCCTTTGCGCTCCATCAATTGTCTTTCATACATCTCTATACTCTTGCTTATGGCACTGCATTCAACTGCTCTGTGTTTCAATGGCGTCTCTTCGAATCATCCAACTTCTCTCTCGCATCAGTTCTCTGGTTCATCTACTTTCAGGCGATGTGGAGTCAAAATATCTGCCTTTTCTTCTCCGATCACCACTTCACCTTCGCGATTTCAACTGAGAGGTAAAAAAATCCTTCTTTTTTTTTTTTTCGATTTCTTTGCTCTGTTGGTTCTCTATTAGATCTTCGTCAAGTGGAGTTTAATTTTATTTTTGATTTTACTTTTTCTAAGATCTCATAATTTATGAGTTCCTGGCACAATTTCGTTGACCTGTACGGAAACTAAAACTGAATTCTTGAAATTGAGTTGGATTTCAGAAAGTTGTAAAGAATCAAAGAAATTACTTTGTGGAGAGAGTGCAAAGAATTTACTATCAATTTGGATTAATGCATGTAACTTGTTTGGAATCTGAACTGATTATTTATTTCTCCTTGATTAGTCTAGCTAATCCCATGATTGACACCTAGCAGCACTATCCTCCAACCTGAATTTGATCCTTGTCGACTCTTGGCTTGAATTGTGTTACGAGGATGTGGGGTAAAAAAAGCACGAGGCAATGGATTATTTATTAGTTCTCTTATGCTTTTCTAATACAAGGCATAGTTTAGGACACATTTCATATTGCATAACTATGGAGGTTTTAAGTTGCAGCAGTCAGTACTGGTATCCAAAAATATTTTACGAACAACTGAAACCACTCTTGACGAAGAAATTGATGTGGAATCTTTAATTGAAGACGGCATAGAGGATGTAAATTTAAGAAAGGTGTTGGTGAGTGCTAAATGTGATCAACATTTGTTTGTGTAAAATGCAAAGTTTTGTGTTAATCTTTTATTACACTGGCAAATAGAAGCAACTTCAGATGTGGTTTGGAGAATTGACCAACTAAACATATTTTACATGATAAGTAAACGGTGAAAAGCTTTTGATTCATGTACATCTGCATTTATGATTTTCAGCTTGTCATCTTGGACATTGTAGATACTTATGTCCAACTCTGCTACGAGGCAATTGCCACATCATCTATGTTGGCAACACATGAAGAATAAGGAGCCATGCGTCAGCTTGAGATGACCTGTGGACCAATGACACAGTCCACATGTCATCCTCATGAGACAACATATGGACCAATGGAAAATCTCTTCATGCTCCCTTCCAAGGTTGAGCTATGATGGCCAAAGCAAGCATTTGTGGTACCCTTTCCCTGAGCAGAGACACTAAGGCATGCCCCAGACTGCTTGTGGCACACCTTGGCTCAATCAAGGAATTTTCACTCAAGTAGTTCCCCTCACTGTGCCCTCTCTAGCTCAATCGGATTGCTCATTGCCTGAGTGTGTCTATGTCTTGAAATTCTCTCAATGCCATGGCATGCTTATTCTCTTGTCGAGCATGTCCTCCCCACTACTGCAGCTCAACTCCTACCTAGCTTGGCCAAGCAACCCTTATCGAGTTTTCCCTCATCGAGTAGGCCTATTATCCACACTTGGTCTCCAAGCACCCTGATGCTACCACCCCAACCTAGGTCAAGAGTAGGGCCTAAGAGGATCTATGGTTTGGAGGCTAGAGTTTAGGGTTCATCAAGGTGTCTCGTCATCCACTCTTGCACCTCGTCTTAGAAAGAGAAAACTACACAAGGTGACCAAATTGACCAAGATATCTGACACCTCATGAGAAGTGTACCTAACTCCTACAGGGGAATGATATAGACCTGTGTTTTGAGATATTATTTAAAAAATAATTTTCTAGAGAGAGTTTAGAAAATTTGAAAATTTGTTTGGTTGTATATTTTGAAAATAGTTTTGAAGTTTCAGAGTTTGAGATGATTTGATATTTTTTTATAGTTGAATAGATAGGTGCGAGAGAAAAAGTGATTGAGAATGAAAGAGGAGAGAGAGAAAAAGTGATTGATAGATGTGTAGTAGAGAGAAGTGATTTTAGGGGTGTGTTTGGTTTGTGTTTGTAGAGTAGTTTTTGAGATAAAAAGTATGAAAACTTGTTTGGTTTGCTTTTTTTTAGAAATGATTTTGGAAAATTGTTTTGGGAAGAGAGTTTTAAAAAAAGTGACTGATTTGATGTGTATGAGAGAGAGAGAGTGATTTTGGAAAGTAGGTAAGGTAACCAAACAAAATGTTGAGATTTTTTTTGAAAAAATTTGTTTGATTTGATTACTCTTGAAAGTTTGTTTGTAGAGAATTTTTCCCAAAATTTTTTCTAAAAAACAAACCAAGCAAGGCCTAGAATTTTTAATTTTTTAATTTTTTTTTCTAACCAAACATATTTTTGGAATTTTTTCTCCAAAAACATGTTGTGAGAGACAAACCAAACATGCCCATAGTCTTTGAGGCTCGCTTACCTGCCACTGCACTCCCACGATACAACCCTTGAGATTTGATCATGAGTGTAGGTGGTGGTTGAGAAACCTAAGGCTTGTCGAGCCAAGGGTGTTGAGCCACATGTACCTCAACATAGGGCATTTTTCTCAGCTTGTCAGCTCTTGGTTTGAATTGTATTATGACGATGTGGGGTTAAAAAGAGAAAGAGACAAGAAGGTAGAATTCTAGATTATTTGTTAGCTCTCTTAAGCTTTTCCATTACAAGGCATATTTTGGGACACCTTTTCATATTGGATATCTATGGTGGTTAAAGTTGCAGCAGTCAGTGTTGGAACAGAAGTAAAAAGTCACTATGCAAGAATATCATAAGAACTAAAACCACTCTTGCTGATAATTTTATACAGAGCATATGAGAGCTTAAATCACCCCTCCAACTGTCTTAGTTGCTCTAGAGTCAAAGAAGTGTGGAGCATGGTATTTCAGTTTTTGGGGTGGAATGGGTGATGTTTGGCTTGGTCCGAGACTTATTTTGTTCTTGGAGTAGAGGGTGCTTGAAGGGGAGCTGGAGGAAGGTGTGGAGGCTGCTCCTAAATGCATTGTATGGTACTTGTGGAATAAGTGTTCTTTTGAGAATGTAGAGACCTTGGTATATGCTTAATAGGGACTGTGCTTGTCTCCTTATTTTTTTGGCTTAGGGAGACATTTCCTTTTTCTTTTTATGATTTTGTTGACTTTTGGGGGAGTTGTACATCCTAGTACATATATTGGGGAATTTCTTTTTGTTTTACTGCAGAAGATTGGCCCCCTTTTGTGGAACTTTTTGCTTAATAAAATTCTTTACTTGTCTAATAAAAAAAGTTTGGAATGTATCAAAATGCACAAGAAAAAAGGGTTGGAAATAAAAGTGAAAAACACTACAATTCAAAGCTTTTTCAATGAGCTAATTAATTTTAGTCATTAACTGGAATGGCTGGAATTTGCGAAATGAAATTAAAAATATATATATATATATAGGAAAATGTTTGGTGGCTCGAATTTTTGTGGCTCGAATGGCTCGAATATGTCAAAACGATGTCGTTTTACACCCAAAACGACGCCGTTTTGAGTATTTCGAGCCATTCAAGCCATGTTTTTTCGGGTCACCTAGCATTGTTGATATATATATCATGGAAACTTAGCAAACATTATGAAATGGCCTAAAACTCATTTAAAGGTAAAGTTATGTTTCAAATAATGATTAATAGAATGTGTGATGGTGTAAAACTGGAAACAAAAAACTATTTTGTGATCTATTTAGACAATACTTTTTTTCCTCGATTCCATTGTTGATAATTTTTGTCAACTTCATTTTTTCTAGGAAAGGCATTTCCAAGTGATGATGGGGTATCTCGAACAAATGAATCCTCCCTTGTGGTTTGCTTTGGAGAAATGCTAATTGACTTTGTCCCAACTACAAGTGGGCTGTCATTGGCCGATGCACCTGCATTCAAAAAGGCTCCGGGAGGTGCACCTGCTAATGTTGCTGTTGGTATTGCTCGTCTAGGTGGTTCATCAGCTTTTATAGGAAAGGTATCATTTTGAATATATTCATTTTGTCTAATGTTGTTCATTGTCTACAAAATATGAGACAGAAGTAATATTTTTTATTCCCACTTAACTAATGTAAATTGTTCATAACATGGTTGTTTTATGTCACTGGTGGTTGCCTTCATCTTGTTTCCTTTGTCAATATTGAAGATTTATTAACCCCCTCCCGTAAACCAAAAGTTATGTAATAAAATAAAATAAAATCTCAACTATACTTCCCAAAAAATTAAAAAAAAAACTCAACTATGCTTTGTCCCAACCACTTGTTTCACCAATCCACTCGATCAAAGGTCATAATTTTAGCTGAACCACAAGTTAACAAGTCTTTTCTTGCTGTCTTAACCCACATTAATTTTTTTCTTCCTTGACTGCTAGCAAAAAATAATTAGATAAACAAATAAGACCTTATCTGGATTTCATACTTTCATGTTCATTCTTGATGCGGTTCTTCTTGTTCATGCCTTCTATATTGTTGGATTACTGCTCTGGAAAAGGATTTTCATATATAAACATGCATAGATATATATTCACTGCAGTGATACATCAAATGTATCCTCTGTTGTGCCTATGTAGCATGGTCCCAGTTAGCTAGTTCAATAGTATGGAGTTCTGCCCATTAAAATTGATTAAAACAGAATCTGATCACCCTACGTACTTGTGCTGTATTTGTACGTTTTTTTGAATCATTCAATATTGGAGCTCTACTGCTAGAGTGTCTGGTATTTATGCAACTTGCCTGTGAGAAAATATAGTTGCATCATGAATATCCATGGATTCATTTATCCATTCCAAACCAAGTCATCCTTGTGGCTTCCATTTAGAAGAAGTTGTTATCTACCATTACCAAAAGCTGTCAGTTGTTTTTTCCTGAATCTGAAATGCTATTCACCTGGAAGATCTTTTAAGCTTTGAACTGTTTATTAAATTGTACTGAATATAACTCTGTGTGAAATGCAATATCTATTATCTTTATGAATATCCATGGATTCATTTATCCATTCCAAACCAAGTCATCCTCGTGGCTTCCATTTAGAAGAAGTTGTTATCTACCATTACCAAAAGCTGTCAGTTGTTTATTCCTGAATCTGAAATGCTACTCACCTAGAAGATCTTTTAAGCTTTGAACTGTTTATTAAATTGTACTGAATATAAATCTGTATGAAATGCAATATCTATTATCTTTAGAGCATCAACCTAAATTTTGTCTCGAAATTGGTTTCTGAGAATTGCTTGTCATGTGCTTATTACTTGAGATAATTGGAAAAGGAAAAACGGTTGTTTCTCCTGTTACTATGATCGTTCATGTTTTAAGCAATGTGCACAGGTGGGTGAAGATGAATTTGGATACATGCTTGCTGATATTTTAAAGGAGAATAATGTAAACAATGAAGGAATGCGCTTTGACCCTGGTGCCCGAACTGCTTTAGCATTTGTGACACTGAGAAATGATGGGGAGCGTGAGTTCATGTTTTATCGCAATCCTAGTGCTGATATGCTGCTTCAAGAAACTGAACTTGATTACGATTTAATTAGGAAGGTAATTGAGGAGTATTTTGATAACTAAATAAAAGGGAAACAATGAGGAGGAAGTAAATATTATAAACCCACTTTGTTTTTATTTCAGTTGTTGTCTACCAAGTCATTTTCTTCAAAAGGGACTCAGTTTATACCTCCCCTCTTGCTCCTCTTCCCTCTGTCTATGCCTCTGAGCATTTATGTCATAAAGGGCCTCAGTTTTTGAAGTATTTACAGTTTATCTGCCCATATTTGGAGTCTGCTTCTGGATATATATGATTATGTTCGTACCACAATATACATAATTGTGTTTTTATTATATGTTCAATTGTGTAAAAAAATCTAGTAATTTATAACACCCTCTGGCAGGCAAAAATTTTTCATTATGGTTCCATAAGTTTGATTACAGAACCATGCAAGTCAGCCCATATTGCAGCAGCAAAAGCTGCAAAAGATGCTGGTGTGATTTTGTCTTACGACCCCAATCTGAGGCTGCCATTGTGGTCATCTGCAGAGAGTGCCAGAGAAGGAATTTTGAGTATATGGGAGATCGCTGATATTATTAAGGTATTCTTCATGTTAAATGCATAAATGGATAAATGTCACAATGCAATAATGTAAATGGAAACTGCATTTCTGATGATTCTGTTTAAATTACTTATTAGATAAGTGAAGAAGAGATATCATTTTTAACACAAGGGGAGGATCCATATGATGATGCTGTTGTTCGTAAATTGTTTCATCCAAATCTTACTTTACTCCTTGTCACTGAAGGCCCAGATGGTTGCAGGTATTACACCAAGGTAATATTCCTCCAAATATATATCATTTTGTAGAATAAGCTATGCTGAAACACTGTACTCTTTTTGGTTTCTTAACTGTTTATTTAGCATGTTCCATTTACCTTTGATGAGTGAAAATATTCAGTCATACTGCAGTGGGATGAAACTCCTTCTGCCCCATGGTCCAAGAAACAGCTTTATCTATGGCTTGATCTATATCAAGACAAAGTGACAGTCGATATCCAAAGGCGAGAGGAGATGGGTGGATGGAGATTCAGTTGGGTGAATACTTCAACAAAGGAAGAAGCTGGCGGCACGGTTTTTGAAAACATCAAGACCCATCTCAGTTGGATCGGTAGCTTGCAACTCCACCTGAATGCCATCAAGCTCTCTCAGGTCAGAGGTTCGAGGCTTTTCAGGTTGCCTACGAGGACTTGACCACTGAAGTCCCCTCCGTCCGAAACGCCGCCTTTTCTGAGATTGCCAAGATGAGCTTCAGCTTCGCTGCCATCACTGTCCAATCGCCCCCTCTTGATTGAAGAGTTAAGGTATGTGTAGAAAACTCCAGCGGATTAGGTTGAGGTCCGGCGGGCGGCTAAGGTGAGGTTGCCGCCCGCCGGGAAGTGAAAATACTAGGTTCTAAATCTGCTCTGATATCATGTTGAAATTTAATGTATAAAGAGAAATAGAAAATTGTATTATTGATTGATGTGTTGATATATATTACAATGATTCATGATTCCTATATATAGAAGAGGGTGAGTGTGTAGTAGGTGAGGAGTAGGTGAGGAGTAGGTGGAGAGTAGGTGAAGTAGGTGAGTGTGTAGTAGGTGGTAGTGGTAGGTGTGTAGTAGGTGGATTTTAACATTTAGCATGTTCCATTTACCTTTGATGAGTGAAAATATTCAGTCATACTGCAGTGGGATGAAGATAGATGCACTTGGGCTGAAGAGATCATTACATTCCGTTCACGTTGCATTTTGACATATTTTCCTTGCTTTAGGAAACGAAAGTAAAGATATTTCTTCTTTTTTGAAACAAAACTAAAAGGATTCTTCTTTTGAAGTGAGTATAGGGGCAATCAAGTTCATCATCAAATTGCATTTCTGAGGTGTACCTCTTGACCTTCAAAATATCAACTGTGATTCTTCAAAAGCCACTAGAGACGTTATATATGGGTCTCACTTTTTGGTCAATCTGTCATATAAGCCAATTTATTTTGAGATGATATGCTTGGCAAATGCAATTTTTCTCTCTCTTTTCCTTCTTTTTTTTGTTGTTGTTGTTGTTGTTGTTGTTGATCCTAATGTCCCAACTTTTCTGTATTGCTGGGCTCCACTATATCTTTCTGAGTCAAGAACAGTAACTGTTGGACTTTATACATTCTTTCAGGAGTTCAGTGGCAGAGTTAAAGGTTTAAAGGTGGATGCGGTGGACACCACAGGAGCCGGAGATGCTTTTGTTGCTGGAATCTTATCACAACTAGCTGCTGATGTCTCATTGCTACAGGTACGTTCATAGAAATACTAGTGTTTTTAACAGCTGTACTGAATATGCTTGGCAAGCAAACAATTTACTTTCAGTCCTTTGCATTTGTTTTCCATACTCGTATTGTCGATTTATTCATGATATCCTTGTAGTGTGGAAACTTTGCATTACATGTAAATTTGGATTTCTTTTTTTAGGTAGTTTTTTTTTATCAATCAATTCACATATCATTCTCATTTTTCAGTTTGTCTGATAAAAATGCATAAGCATAACATTTCTGTCCTTAATAAACGGTGATAAATGTGGTTATGTTTCCAGGAGGAGAACCGGCTGAAAGAAGCTCTGAGGTTTGCCAATGCTTGTGGTGCATTGACCGTCCAGGAGAGAGGCGCAATTCCAGCGTTGCCAACCAGAGAAGCCGTACTGAATGCACTGCTTAAGACGGTGGCATAAGTTTTGATCTGGAACACTGTAATTGTACAACTACCTCCCAACCTTCACCCAAATTTTTGTTTTTGGTATGATGATGATGTTGAGCAGACCATTTCACATTCGAATAGATTTAAATAAATTGATATGCATGTATCTTAATGCAACGTGTTTTGTCCGAGGTTGTTGAGAACCTCCTCTCCGATATATTATTTCGTTCTTGCATACATTAAACCATATTGTAGACATAAAGGCCCGGTGACATGTTGGTTGCTTCAATATATTTCTTCTTCTGGTCAAATTCCTTACTGTGAAGAATCCTAGTTTCTTTTTTAGGGCAAACTTTTTTTTGCATTCAATTGATGCAAAACACACACACACACACACACACACACACATATATATATATATATCAATATAGGTGTTTCAATTGTTGGGGGAAAATACGGGTTTTGCCATAATTGTCTTTTTAAACGAGTGTTTTTCTGCAAATATTTTCGTGTAAAAAGTATAGGATTATGCATCATGAGAAATTTTAATTATTTTTGTAATCCTTGCAAATGATGTCGTTTTCATTTGGCAAAAATTTATTCAAAATGATTGACATATATTGTATTTTTAGTTTCTGCAGTGGTCTTCCTATACTCAAATTTTTCCAAATATTTTTATTTTTTCATATGAAAATTTATTTTTGAAGTATATATAATATCACCCACAGCTTCTATTAACGGTAAGACAGTTAAAGAGCTGGTGATCCGATAAAAATACCTCCGAGTCCAAAGGACAACCATACCTCTTCCTCTCCCATTTCTTTATAAAAACCCTAATTCTCACAAATCTCCAACATTCAATTAACAAAAACCATATTATCTAAGCTGACAACATAAGATTCAATTATTAACGTTATCATAGTCAATAATGGCAGATGATGATCCACAAGATAAGGCCGAACGCGAGCGGATCTTCAAGCGTTTCGACGCCAACGGTGATGGAAAAATCTCCGCCTCGGAGCTTGGAGACGCCTTGAAGGCGCTCGGCTCCGTTACGCCAGACGAAATCCAGCGAATGATGGCTGAGATCGACACTGATGGCGATGGCTTCATTTCTTTCCAGGAATTCACGGATTTTGCACGTGCCAACCGGGGCCTAGTCAAGGATGTTGGCAAAATATTCTAAAATAGAAAAAATAAAATTTGTTTTGTTAGTTAAAATTACATAAATTTGTTTTTAAAGATATATTTGATATTTATATTAATATATGTGGGGTGATTGATAACACAAGTTGGGCTTTGCAGGCTAGTGAAGATAGCAAGCTGGTTACATATAATGCTTTGTAAGATGAATTAAAATTATTTAATTGTCGTGATCCATATATGTGAAAGTTGTAATTGTGTCTTTATTTATAAAAAAATTTATGTTGGGTTGACTCATTTTTGGCAATTGCTTTACCTTATTATAGTTGTTGTTTGGATCAATTGCTTTAAAAAAAACATTCTTTCATTTAAGAAAACAAAAGAACGTGAGGAGAGAGAGAAAAGTGCAGTTGTGGGAGAAAATAAAAATAAATTCCAAAAAACAAAAACTAACCCAAGATCGATGGTCCTAGTTGGGAGGCAGAGAAGAGTAGGCATGTCCAGTGGCGGAGCCACACCTGCTCCAGGGGGGTCACGTGCACCACTGGTTTTGACTTGTTTTGATTTTTTTTTTTTTTTTTGCAAAAAAAAAGAAAAAATTTTAAATAAAAAAATTATAAAATATTATTTAGATTAAAATATCAATGACATTTTTAAAATTTTGAGAATAATAATAGTTATTTTTTTATTGAAATAAAAATATTACGATAAGTTATATTATTATTTATGAAAATTTCAATATAATGGTGATGTCCATCATTATTAACCTGCAATTATAATTAAACTCAATGAAGATATGAAATTTATTGAATTATTAGTTACATTTGACATGTGGGATTCATCTTCTATGTGTTTCTTTACTATTGGTTGGTGATATTATAAGTCAATGATGACGTAGTATGACTATTATATTGAATTTTTACTGAAATTTTGTATAAAAAAATACTTTATTATTATATAATTTATTTTAAAACTTATATCCATGACTTTTTTTTTATATTGTCCATGATATACTAGTTACAAATAATATATATATATATATATATATTGGAGGAGTGGAGAGGGAAATTTTTCTGGGTAGAATCTAGATAAATTTTCTGATGAGATTTTCTCTGTGATGTGTCCAGAGAAATTTGAATTTTCTCTGTGATTTGTTCAGAGAAATTCTCTGGATCGAATTTTCTCTGGATTGAATTTTCTCTGGATTGATGTTGAGGGACCTTAGACATCATGAAAATATTGAGTGTCCTTTATGCTATAAAATCTTAATACCAAGGACCTTAAAAAAAATTCCCCTTTTTTATCTTACAAAAATAATTCTCATTTAAGTATAAATTATTATTTGTAATATATTATATTATCTATAATTTTTATTAATATTTTTATTTTTCAACTTATAAAATTAATTTAATTTCCGTCACGCATCCGCTCCACTTCTATCACCTCCTTATTTATCCCGCTCCAAATATGATACAGAGTTTGAATCAAAAAAAAAATATGATACAGAGTGGGGACGGACGACCCGTGTTTATCCCTTTTGATATCAGAGCCATTTACCTATTTCATCAAAAAAAATTTTTTAAGAAAGCATGTCAACGAAAGAAATATGAATATAGACGTCATTTTGTTCTTTAATTGGCCCGACTCTCCCATTCAATTCATATAAACGTCATGCTCAAAACCATGCGCATGGTGCTATGTTATACTTTATTCCCAAAATCCTTATCTTGTTGTCACTATTAGATTTTTATATTTTTAAATTTTTATCAGCAATTATAAGTATATTAGGAGCAGTATACAACAGATAAATTTTGAGAAAAGATAATTCTTTACAATTTATGAGTTTTGACGATAGGAGTATTCTATCCCTTAAATTTTAAGAAAACATATTTTAAATTAAGAACTTGAAAATGTTCTCAATATTTTCTCTTTCAAATTATATATACCTTTTATAAATTTTTCTTATCTGTCTTATTTTTCTTTCAACAAATTCAACACACCAACCATAAAAAGCATTTCAATATTAATTCTTTTATTCATATACGTTAGGTTTTTTTAATAGAAATCCATACTTAAAAATGATATTTAAGGCACTAACTATAACCCAAGTAATTTTACGATGAACTTAAATATTAGGGTGAGCTTCCAAATTCAAATCTATAAAGAGGTATCGATTTGTGTTGTAAGGTTAGAACATGAACATATTCACAAATAAATCTAAGAAAATATTTCCTTCTATTATATATTTAATTGCACTTTATCTTTTTCTTTTTTTTCATTTCATAATGCTTAGAAAATTCTATAGATTTGAATATTGAAATAAATTGACATAGTGATAAAATCTTAGCTCCACCATTTGCAAAAGGTATGCCATGTAAGAAAAAGAAGAATGAAGCAGCAAGAAATTACCAAATACTTTTCAGCAATCACATAAGAATTTGTACACCATAATCATATATATGTGAGTCGAATCATATTACCCGTTAAAAATTTATACTTAGCTCGACTATACTCGTCTTGTAGAAGCACTCCAATCTTGTCCCAAAAAAAAAAAAAACACTATTTCATCCTTGCCTCTGAAAGCAAAAGACAAGATATGGAAATATGTACAAAAGCAATTGACCAAGACACACCCTCTTCATCTACAATTTCAACACAATTTTTGAGTTCTACAATTGCAACATAATAAAACTTCAGGGTTAAAAAAAAAAAAAAAAACTTTTAAAAATTCAAGTTGTTCGATCTGTTTCATGATCTGTTTCATTTCATCGACAGTACAGATGGTGATCATCGTCTTCAAACTCCGAAACTCCAAGCATTGCCAAGGCGAAATGACTCCTCATATCACTTTTCGTGCGTTGCAATTGAGGGCAACAATCAACAACGCAACCACTACTAGAAAAACTGCACCTCCTCCTGTTAGGTAAATTACGTTCTTCTCCTTTTAGTATTGCAATAACCTCAGCAATGCCAAGCCTCTGGGATTCTTCGCTGTTTATGCAGGCAGCTGCAGCTTGAACCATCCAGGATATTTGATTCAAGTTCTTGGCAGCGAGTTTGAGCTGTGGATCGACCAGACTTTCAATCGATCCTTGCTGCAACAATGGCTTTGCCTGCAAAACAACAAGAAAAAAAAAACATATTTAGATCATTATTGCATCATTATGATTGTAAAGAATGTATAAATCAAATCAAAATGGAAAATTTAATATCCCTTTTCTTAACCAACAAAAACAAAAGACCTAAATTTCAAGGTAAAAATTCATACTCAATGACGCTACATCAGGCATGTTATCACATCATTATAATACAAACACAATTTAATTCACTTACGTAGAACTTTAAATAGCTTGTTTCTCGTAAGGTAGAACCCCTGAGCAGAATTGAATGTAGCCTTTTTCTGTCTTGGAAAATTGATTTCTCAAATTGCCAAATTTCACATTTATGTACTTAAAATCTAATAGCATGCTCAGGTGTGATTGTCATTTCAAACAAACATATAAACTCTGATACCATTTTCAAAGTAGAGAGAAAAGATCCTAAGAGAATCAGAGAGCTTAAACCCCGAGACTAGCTCCTCTCATAATTTATATTAAGGACCATTCAGCTACATAACGGAAACCATTTTGTAAGCCTTCATTGTGTTCGAGCAAAAAAAAGCCATCAGAAAGGATGATAATTAAAATTCATATGCAAACTTCGAACTAAGCTGACACACAAAACCAAAATAGGTTCTTTTCAAAACTTTATACAACAGAGGAAACCACTTCATCAAGAGTGGAGTCCGAAAGAATCCCCATTTTTCTTACTCAAAAAAAATTAACATTATAGTATTCAAGCATCATTTTCAAAGAGTTTATATGACACGGCAACAATCTAAAAATGCAAAAAATGAGAATCCCTACAAACAAGTATTAGTCTTTTTAGATTAGTAATCGATTTTTATACAATAGGCGCATTACCATCTATTTCTACCAAGCCACAAAAAAAAGAAATAATTGAATCATAAACATAGATGACAAAAAACTGATTGAATGAATGAGACCATTTAATTTATTAGTAGCATCTGCTGAATAAGGACAATTGCCTAGAAGCATTGTTCATTGAACAAATTGTCCTCTAATCGATTTAAAATGTCTGTTCCAGACATTGCAATTATTGTCGACATTAAGCAGTCGTGAGAATCATTTATCTTTACAGTAAGGTAACTGGGGGACTACTGATTCAACTGTCAGAAAAATAACGGAACTGACAAAGGTAATTAACGCAGATAATAAAACAGTGACCTACCCACACCACCAAGTTTTCTTCTCCTGGACCCCTCTTTGCCTCGATAGGCTTCCGTCCACTTATTAGTTCCAACAGGACCACACCAAAAGCATAAACATCGGTTTTATCAGATACCTTCCCATGCTGGAAATATTCAGGGGCCAAGTAACTGCACATTTAATTCAAACAGTCCGTAAGTGAAATAAAAAAATCAACCATTCAACAAGAAACAATGGATGGTATCGCTATCTCGATTGCTATTATGCTTTTTTTGTTCTATTCAAAATTGTCTCGAGAATGAGATCGTACCCAAACGTTCCTTTCACAGTTTTGCAAAGGAAAGGTACTGAAGGCGCATGAGTCCACGTAGCTAATCCAAAGTCACATAACTAGAATTATACCATTGAAAATGTTAGAAACATTACCAGAAAATATCATGGTCGACTAAAAAGTTCATAGAATCACAATAACAATAGAGCGAATCCTATCGCTACCTTTGGTGTTTTCTTGGAAGATAAAAGGATGTTCGAGGGTTTAATGTCTCTGTGAACGACACATCTCTCAGTTCCATTGTGTAAATAACCAATTGCCTCTGCTATTCCAACAGCAACTTTGTACCTCACAGAACATGGAAGTGATGGACCACCCTTCACTCCCCTCTTCTTCTCTGCAAATGATGAGTATTTCTAAAGTCATTTAAATTCATCAACAGAGAAGCCAATTTTCCATTTAAAAGACATGAAATCATACCGTGCAAATACCGCTCTAAGCTTCCACCGGATACATACTTGTAGACCAAAAACAAACCCTCATCAGGATCAATGCAAAAACCAACAAGAGGGACAATTTTTGAGTTATGGAGTGAACTAGTAATCATCAGTTCTCTACAAAATGCCTTTGAAGACTCTTTATCTTCCTTATCCAACCGCTTAACCGCTACGGTGGTCCTCAAAAACCCTACTTTCCCCCTGAAAACATAGCTCAGTGCTCCTCTACCCAAAACCCTGCCTACCCAATTCAACAAAATCAATTACAAATTCACAATCAATCAATCATGAACATATATATATATATATATATGTAACAAAGAAAAAATAGTAACAAAAAAACAAAAACAAAAACAAGAAAACCCAATTGAATAATACCTTTTGAAAAATTTCGAGTAGCAGAGACGATTTGAGCATAGCTAAACCTAGTCAATGTATGAGCCAGAGGAGATATACTCCTTTCCAGTGATTGAATTCTTTGCCATTTAAGCTCTTGAGATCGAGAGTCAGTTAAGAAACCATTGTCCAAATTCACCATCAAAATAGTTGCAGAAGAAGGATTAGTAGCCACATTCATTGATTCGAGTTCGATTTGGGAGCAGAGACTGAACCTGAAAGAGGAGTGAACTGATTGTGGGTCAGTACTCGAATTCAACTCCGCACCACAACCTCCAGACTCCGCAAGCAACCAAGCCTTGTTGTGCTCCGAATTGCTGCTGCTGCTAACATTCTCTCTCTCCGATTGATCTTTGGCCCTGCCCCTGGGGAGAACACATGCCAACAATCCAAATTCCGAAATCATCTTATACAAAAGGGTCTTGAATTTTATCTCATTGTAGTCCAAGTACTGATCAGTAGAGAGAGATGAAGCAATTGGGGTAATTTGGTTGTGAATAGGCTCTCTACAGTAAGTACCACTGCTTCGGGAAAACCCCATTTTGAAAGCGGATCTCTATGAGAGCACAAAAACCCAGAAAAACCCAGAAAGCAAAAAGGAAAAGGGTTGAAAGAGAGAGAAAAAGAAAGTGAGAGTGGGATAGAGAACAAAAACCCAGAAAAACCCAGAAAGCAAAAAGGAAAAGGGTTGAAAGAGAGAGAAAAAGAAAGTGAGAGTGGGGATGTGTGTGTGTGTGTGTGTGTGTGTGTGTGTGTGTGTGTGTGTGTGTGGGGGGGGGATTGGATTGGATTGGATTGGATTATAGGACTATTGTATTGCGAGAAGGTCGAGAGATGGTCCCAAAAGCAATTGAATGGATTGAATTGAATGGCCTTGATAGTTGATGATGGCATTATGTATATATAACTTTTGTTTGGGAGGTAGGTTGATTTTTAAATTTTTTAATTATTTTAATTTGAGGTTAAAAATTTTTATTTAATATAAATTTTTTAATTATTTTGATTTTTATAAAAAAAATTGAAATAATTATAATTTAAATATAATATTTTATCTTATTAAATTTTTAATTTTATTTATAACACAGGAAAAACGTGAATTGAATAGAGTGTCTTGGTTGAGAAGACAAGAAGCATTGAGTTAAACACTCAAAAAAAACTCACAAGCTATCCAAATGATCAAAGGGTTAATTTTAGGATGAACCCTAAACTCATTTATTTGTATTTAATTGTTATTAATATTTTTTTCAACTTAATTGACATTTTTATAAATATTTAGTTCTCGTTTGCCAACGGACTTGTTTTAGTTAGTTTTTTTTTTTACTTTTTAACTATTTTAGTTTAAAATTAAAAGCTTATTTGAGTTGACTTTTTAAATATTTTTATAAGAGAAAAAATAAAATAATTATGGTTTGAATGTGACATTTTAATTATTGACTTTTTAACTTATTTTGATTTTTAAGAGATATTTGGCATGTACTAAGAGTATCTTCATCTCTTCCTTTATATTATCTCCTTACTCAAAATAAGAAATTTTTCTGTTAAAACACATCCTCAGCAATTCTCCTATTCAACCTCCCAAATATAAGTATTGTTACAGTGACTCCCTACGCCCTCATGTCTGATGAATTCTTATTTGGGTAAATTACACTTACACCCCTTGAGGTTTGGGTTTAATACATATCACCTCCTAACGTTTGAAAAATTACACTAACCTCCCTGTCATTGTAATTATTTACACGGAATGAAGATATTAAACTCATGCACTCTCTCTTTTTTTGCTTTGCTTTACTTTCTCTTTTTTTCCCCTTTTCTTTTATTTTTTTTAATATAATTTTCTCTGTTTTTCTACTAGAAGGTGTTACCTTTTATATAACCATAGGAGTTTGTGAAATGAGACTATTAACCACAGGGGTGAGAATGTTATTTTCAAAACGTCAGAGGGTGGGTAGTAATTGGACCAAATCTCAAGGAGTGTCAATGTAATTTACCTTTCTTATTTTATAGGCGCGAAGGATGTCCCCCGAATACCGCTCCGGATGTCCCGTGAGAGTCTTGAAGCTAAAGAAGGAAAATGTTCAAAATTAGCTTGACTGATCGATCGCCCGGTCGACCACCTGGACGACCGCCCCTTTGCTTTCCTCTGTTGCTACTTCCTTCTATGCTCTTGTGCTCATTTATTTTTATTATTTTATTATTAAAAGATATTAATTATAAAAATAATTAAAAATATTATTTTAATAGAATAGAGAAATGGGTGGTCGACCGATCAAGTTAATTTTAAATATTTTTCATTCTTTAGCTCCAAGACTCTCATGAGACATCTGGAGGGACGTCCAGGGAGACGTCCTTCGCGCCTATAAAATAAGAATTTATCAGATATGACGGAGTTGCAATGATTCCCTATTTGTAGAGAATCACTGTAGCAATACTTATATTTGGGGGGTTGGATAGGGAAACTGTTGGAGATGTGTTTTGACAGAAAAACTCTTTATTTTGAGTAAGGAGGTAATATAAGGGAAGAGATGTGAATGCTCTAAAATAGCACATATTTTACCACATTGTCCTATTTGGGTCAAATTACCTCTTTACAATATCATTTCAAATCTATTCCATATTTCACTTTCTTTTTTCTTTTTTCTTTTTTTTTGTAAAAAATCAGAAAGTATACTTGACCAAAAAAAAAAAAAAGATAAAAAAAAAATTATACTAGTATAAGGGATGCCAAATAGTGCATATAAGAAGTAATTAATGATACTTTATTGCATTTAATGAGTATTAAAACTTGTTCAATTTGAAATCAGTAGTAGTACTAATTGGTATACCAATAAGTGTATTAACATATGTTATGATATTATCACTTTAAAACTATGGATCCCATTTGTTATACAAGTTACAAATATTTAAAACCTTTAAAATTATTTTACATCATATATTAGTACACTAATTGATATACCAATTAATGTGTATAACTTTATTCTTTTAAAGGCTATGTTTGGCATAAGCTACTTTGGCTACTTTGGCTATTTTAGCCAAAAAAAGACAAAATAGGCTAAAAAGTTAATAAGATAAAACATCAAATTCAGACTATAATCATTTCATTTTTTCTCTCACAAAAGTTAAGAAAGTTAAAAAATCTATTCCAAACAAGACTTTTTAACATATGTTATGATATTATCACTTTAAAACTATGGATCCCATTTGTTATACAAGTTACAAATATTTAAAACCTTTAAAATTATTTTACATCATATATTAGTACACTAATTGATATACCAATTAATGTGTATAACTTTATTCTTTTAAAGGCTATGTTTGGCATAAGCTACTTTGGCTACTTTGGCTATTTTAGCCACAAAAAGACAAAATAGGCTAAAAAATTAATAAGATAATACATCACATTCAGACTATAATCATTTCATTTTTTCTCTCACAAAAGTTAAGAAAGTTAAAAAATCTATTCCAAACAAGACTTTTTACTCTCAGGTTAAAAAAGACAAAAAGTCAATACACATTCCAAAGGAAGGCAAAATAACAAGTTAAAAATAGAAAGACACACACACACATATATATATAGAAAAATGATTGGTGGCTCGAATTTGTGTGGTCTGAATGGCTCTAATGTATCAAAAGGACGTCGTTTTATCCCCAAAACGATATCGTTTTGACACATTCGAACCATTCAAGTCATGAACTTTCGGGCCACCAAATATTACTGATATATATATATATATTTGAACATAAATAGAAAGCTATTAAATATATTTAATTCAATTAATAGGCTAATAATAGAAAATTATTAAACTCAAGACATTTTAATATAATATTAAATATACATTAACTAGTTAAAATTAAAATTATTAAATTCAAGACAAATAATACAATGTTAAATGCCCATTATCAAGATCCGTGCACTTGTTAGCATTAGCGCCAAATAACAATAATATGATGGATTTTTTTTAATAAATACCTTTATTTGACTTGAAATTGTTAGATATTCTTTACAAAAGTGTGTACAATATGAAAAATACACAATTATTTTAAGGTTTCGTTTAGAAAGTAGGTTAATTTTTAGGCTATTTTAGACCTTGTTTGAGAACCCTCCATTTTAGTTAAAAAGTCAAAATATTATTAAATTAGTCAAAAAGCTAACAACCTATATTAAAAAGTTAAAGATTTTCTTTTCTCTTTACTTTTTGCACATCTTTTCTTAAAAGACCACAAAATCATCCCAAACATACTAATTTTTTTTAGCTCATATTTTAACCAAATAGCCAAAAAGCTACTAAATTAACCTGTTCCCAAACGAGTTCGTTTGGATTAATTTTTTTGATTTTTATAAGAAAAAAAATGAAATAATTATGACTTGAATGTAATATTTTGTCTTATTAATTTTTTAACACATTGTGGTGTTTTGGAAAGTTGGTAAAAATTTGACTTTTTAATTTTTTTAGGACTCGTTTGGGAACAAGTTTTTTTTAGTAACTTTTTAATTTTTTGGCTAAAATATGATGTAAAAAAAATTAGTATGTTTGCGATGACTTTTTATCTTTTTACAAAATACTGTGCAAAAAAGTAGAGAGACAAAAAGGAATCTTTGATTTTTTGGTATGGATTGTTGACTTTTTGACTTTTTTAGTAACTTTTTAGCTAAACCGACCTGTTGCTAAACGAGGTTTATTTTATCTTTTTATGAATACAAAATATGAGAGGTGATTTGACTCAAAATAAGTAAAAAATTAAAAACTGACCTTTTTTTTGCTTATCAAAAGACCCCACTGTCTTTTTGTGACTAAAAAAAGCTACTAACCTCATTTTAGTCCATTATTAAACGAGAGCTAGATCTTCTACATCGATTCTCAACTTGTTAATAAAGTTGAATATGATTACAGTTCTTTTACATGTTTAAAATTAGACACATCTCGCTTATAAGGGGTGACGAGACTATCAATTTTGTAATCTAATTTTGTATACTTAAAATTATATTAATTATATTCACATGAGAGAGAGAGTGGGGTGATTATAGTAGTCTCAAAGTATGAACATGTGATATTCTGTAATATAGTAATTGGTGAAAAAAATAAGTAAGTAAAATATTATGTTGAGTAATTAAAGAATATAATAAATAATGATTAGCTAAAAAATAGGAAGATCATATTTCGAAAGTATTCTATTATTTTCCGTGAGGCTAGATTTTAGTGGATGAGAAATTCTTAGGTAAACGAGATTTTGAAATTACTATGGAGAACAATTAATGCACAATTAAAGAGAGGAAGATGAGATGAGATGCATAGTTTGGTGACCATCCAATTTTCCTTTGACAGCCGAGATGGGGGGTTCCGATTTGTCATGATCATGAGAGGTTTGCTTTGTTGTACTTTTGGGGTCAAATTGATTCAAGACCTAATTAGTTAGTTGGTCCAAAGACCTAATTAGTTGGTCCAAATTCTCTGCGATGGATTCCTCCTCCCGAAGGGCAGTTCAAGATTAATTGTGATGCTAGCTTTGCTTCAGACAGTCATAGGACTTCTTCAGCTGTGGTTCTTCGGGATTGGAAAGGACATCTGCAGAATGGTATTACCTTTCCTGTTCAATCATTTTCGATTACCCAAGGGAAAGCACGAGCGGTTCGACTGGCATGTGCCTTGTCTTCAACCCTCGATCTCTTTCAAGTTCATGTCGAAAGCAATAATAAAGCAGTTATTGAGCTACGTGTGTTCGAGTTAGATCCTCCTTGGGACTGTCAAGCCATTATCTATGACATCCTTTAAGCTCGAGCTCGTCACAATATCATTTT